ACTAAATACCTGAATATATTAAAAATTTGATGTACATTTTATTGAAACTCTGACCCATTAAGTGAAATAAATCATTGATGTGTGAGTCGAGATATAAATGTCTAATATGCATGTTAAGACCTAAGATATGTCATGTGTGGACAAATATGTGTCCCGTCCACATTAGTACACTTATTAGTTCCAACTGTGCGTCCTCTTAATTATATTAAATACCAAAAGTAGATTACTTAGATGACAATTACTAAATACCTGAATATATTAAAAATTTTATGTACATTTTATTAAAACTCTGACCCATACATAAGTGAAATAAATCATTAATGTGTTAGTGGAGATATAAATATTTAATATGCATGCTAAGACCTAAGATATGTCATGTGTGGACAAATATGTGTCCCGTCCACATTAGTACACTTACTAGTTCCAACTATGCGTTCTCTTAATTATATTAAATACCAAAATTAGATAGCTTAGATGACAATTATTAAATACCTGAATATATTAAAAATTTGATGTACATTTTATTAAAACTCTGACCCATATATAAGTGAAATAAATCATTGATGTGTCAGTGGAGATATAAATATCTAATATGTACGCTAAGACCTAACTCTACTAAACCTGATTTGAACCCATAAACTGAAAATAGTATCACTATATGAAGTCTAATTTGTGGTATTTCTAGACTACAATAATTGCGACTAATTTTTACCCGATTTTGTCAGAACGAAGTTTATTTTTCAAATACATTTGCCCGGCGGTATTATCGGTCGTCTATGAGAGAATTAATATGATCGTCGAGCTCTCGGACATTTCGACGAAGCGTGCAAATGACAAGAGCTTTCCAGGTTTTGCGGGACACCGACCAGACGACATTCCAATACGTCAAATCGCAGAGTATCGCGCTGAAAGTCCAATCGTTCGACCGATTATTTTTCCGGTTATTACTCAGAGACATCGGAGCCATCATACCGATATCTCGATGCGCCATTTTCACACGGACGGATCGTTTCTACGCGATCTGACATAAAGCGGCTTTCGCGGTACACAATTTGACGGGCATTAAATCCTAACCCGGACTTCATGGTGTGATGAGATTTTGTGCGTTCATCTTTATTAATGGACAGATCGCCGGCAACACGTTGCTATCGTAGCGCAGCTATGCGTTACATCGACAGGACTCGATATCCTGTGAGCGAACTTCGACAATAGACAGCCGGAATGCAGACTGGCCTATTGATTTGTTATCAAATTATACCGCACGCATGATACGAGGATATTTAGGCACCGGATAAACATGGCTAAGGAAATGGCGGCGCAAACTGATTGAACGGAAGGTGGGATACGGGGTTATGGATGCGGGCGTATGGGCGAGTTTGTGTACCTTTTTCATTTAGGGATTTTTGCGTTCTCAAGGGTTTAAGTTGCGAAGTTAAATGTTCAAATTTTGGAATTTTTAGTTTTTTTAATTATTTGATTAATTTATTGTTTAATTCTTTGGTTTTGAGATTAATTTATTGTTCAATTCTTTGGTTATTAGATTCTTTGATCTCTTTGACTTTGATCCGCCATTTATTCAAATATGCACGCTTTTTAATCCACGAACTACACTGCCTAATTTTTCAGTGTCTAGAGCAATAACACTGAAAAATAAAAAATTTCCAGATTCTGGATGGTATGTTCAAAAATTTAGAAATTTGGAAATTTTGAATTTAAGGAATTAGAAATTTGGAAATTTGAGAATTGGGAAAAGTAGAGATTTGGAAATTCAAGAATTTAGGGAATAAGAAGTTTGGGAAATTGAGAATTTGAGGAATAAAAAATTTGGAAAATTAGAAATTTGAAAGTTTGAGAGTTTGGGAAATTATAAATTTGGAAATTTGAGAATTTGTGGACTAAGAAATTTGAAAAATTGAGAGTTTGAGAAATTTGGAAATTTGAGAATTTGTGGACTAAGAAATTTGAAAAATTGAGAGTTTGAGAAATTTGGAAATTTGAGAATTTGTGGACTAAGAAATTTGAAAAATTGAGTTTGGAGAATTAGAAATTGAAAATTTGAGAATTTTGGAGATTTAGAAATTTGAAAATTTGAAAATTTGAAAGTTTGAGAATTTGAAAGCTTAAAAATTCGAAAATTTGAAAGTTTGAGAATTTGAAGACTTGAAAATTTGAACCCCAAAAATCCCAAAACAATTAAAAACACAAAAAATTTCAGACTTCAACATTTTTAGATCTCACAAAAAAATGGAATATAATTGCATTATAACCAAAATTCACAGTAAATTTATTTTAATCACGAAGCAAAGGTGCACAAACTTGTAAATTTTAATCTTCAACGAAGAGTATACCAGCTATGTACCTACTTCATCATCAGAAGTTTAACTCTTTCAGCAATATCACGCTGAGCAAACAGTATACTAACCGAACATTAATCAAGTAATAGTGCATTGTACGCAATATATAATTTATGCGAAACTGATAGCAAAGCGTCGGGTTATAGATCTATGTGCGAAACAACATGAAAGTTTTATGCCTTTACTGTCATCTTTAATTGCATTCATTTATTCAATTCCGTCTATAAAACATCGATATATTTTTTTATGAAATATGTTATAAATAACTGTTGTTTATGAATAAAGTTATGATAAACATTCTTTAGTTAATATTAGGGTAGTTCAAGACTTTAATAATTATTTTAAGGAGTTTTTAATAATTATAATATTGGAAGCAATTTTTAAGAATTAACTTGATGGTATGTTTAAGTTTTATAAGAAGATTCAAATTTGGCGCCAAAGAGGACAAAATGGCGGATATCAGGTTGGACTTCAAAACTGACTTAGGTTATTTTATTCCTGCATTTATTTTTTTATATCGGAACTAAATAATAGCATTCAAGATAAAATAAACACTATTATAGTGACATAATATTGTAAATGTAATTACAAAATGAACTAAATGATTAAATAAGTAACAGAGATATAGGTTAGATGCACCAATTAGTAATATATACGTTTTATTTGAAGCGTACATAATTTAATTTTAATAACATGCAACAAAAATCTTTTTCCAAATTAAGATTAGCTTGGGAAATTGAGAATTTGGAAATTTGAGAATTTGGGAAATTTGAGAGTTTGGAAATTTGAGAGGTTGGGAAATTTGAGAGTTTGGAAAATTGAGAATTTGGGAAATTTTAGAGTTTGTGAAATTTGAGAGTTTGGGAATTTGAGAATTTGGAAATTTGAGAATTTGGGAAATTTGAGAGTTTGGGAATTTGAGAATTTGGAAAATTAAAGGGTTGGAATTTAGAGAGTTTGGAAATTTGAGAATTTGGGAAATTAAAGGGTTGGAATTTAGAGAGTTGGGGAATTTGAGAGTTTGGGAAATAAAAGGGTTGGAATTTAAAGAGTTGGGAATTTGAGAAATTAAAGGGTTTGAAATTTGAGAACTTGGGAAATTAAAAATTAAAATCTAAATGATTAAATAAGAAATAGAGACATAGGTCAGATGTACAATTTAGTAAAATATACATTTTATTTGAAGCATACATAATTTAATTTCAATAACACGCAACAAAAATCTTTTTCCAAATTAAGATTAGCTTATCAGAAGATCATCTATTACAATCTTATTTATTTTCCAGCAGTTTATCCCCACGAGAAATAACTCGGCAAAATGCAATATACGTAGCTTTCACCTCACCTTCGGTTCCTTCTTTACGCCGAGTAATAGCATATTTTAACTATGGCATTTAATATATAATTGCATGGCAACGGAAGTTAGTTCGCGTTTTTAATATTTCCCGAAGGCGAAATCCTCGTTTCTCATGCAACGGGGGAATAAATAATTTGCCTTTTGTTTTATTTACCGACATGTAAGGTTAGATGGATTTATGGCTTGTCTATTTTCGCACGACTCCCTAATGGTGTAATTGCTATCGTTAAACTTCGCACAAGATTACTGAAAAACGGTATTCGCGTTCTTTTTGTTTTCTCCAGGAAAAATAACGAATCAGTTCAAAATACGGCGTCGAATTTGCTTTGTACGAAGAAACCGCTGCACCCCATTAACAAAATTGAAAGTTATGCTAACAAGATTCTGCTGTGTTTGCTGAACAAATTTTAATTAGAATACACGAATAATTTTAGGTTTCCGTAATGCAAGCTCAAAAACTCTGAATTAGTTCATTTCTGTTAAATTGTTTAATTATTTTGTTATAATTCTAGGAGAAAATATGTTCCATTTTGTTTAATAAATTTCACATGAAATTTTGTTCAGAAGGTTTCTTGTTCAAAATTATAGTAATCTAAAATTATTTAAAATTAAGATAAACTTCACATGAAATTTTGTTCAAAAGGTTTCTTGTTCAAAATTTTAGTAATCTAAATTAATTAAAATTAAAATAAGTTTCACATAAAATTTTGTTCAAAAGGTTTCTTGTTAATAATTTTAGTAATCTAAAATTATTTAAAATTAAAATAAATTTCACATGAAATTTTGTTCAAAAGGTTATTGGTTAAAAATTATAGTAATCTAAAATTATTTAAAATTAAAATAATTTAATTTTTTCATTTTTACTGTATTTATTTATTGTTCCACTTTTATTTCTTACAAGAAATTTTACCTATTTTATTTCTTAATTACTTTCACATTGTTTCTTCATTGCAAGTAATTTTATTTATTTTAGCACATTTTTATATTTTTATTTTATGCACAATTCTCGTGCATTACATATACTAGTTGATTAAAGTTTCGCATAAAGAACAAATACAATTGCGGTCATATTTCACAATCCTTTTACTGCATTGAATATAAACCTCCGACTACAAAATGGCGTCTGTTCATGGCTCTCTTACGCGCACTTTTAATGACTTTTACACATCAGATAACGAAAGCAGCTCGTAAATTAATGTTCCTCCTCAGACTGATCGATTAAGAAACCGCAACAGCACTGAACTGCAAAAAATATGATAAATTTACTAAATTTTGATAAATTTTTGCAGAAATCGACAGGCCGCCAACAACGCGACGACCAAACGCGAGGCGAGATTCGAAGAAATCTTGGAAGATGGATCACAATCACGAAAAGAAGACAGCTGGAATGAAGGACGAATCGATGCTAAAAGGCGTCGATAACGACGACGAGCAGATTGATTTTCAATCAGCGACGGCTTCCACGTTTCTTCATCGACATTTGTTTGCGAATCTCGGTATTGTTGTCACGGCGATTTTAGCAGCTGGATTGTCGACTTCTTAGGATAATTAATCCACGAGATAATCCACACCTGAACGAATTTGAGGAATGATGAGAGAAAGTGTGTGTTACCTGCTGAATGTGGATTGGATGGAGCTAATCTTACGAGACATAGAGGACCAGTTAACTAATTTTCTCCTGTGAATGTAACATTCCGTGTGAAATGTAAAATGGACGACGTTCGATGTTGAGGAAGTTTGACTCAAGGGTTGATTTGTGTGTGTGTTATACTTTTGATATAATTCTATTATTGAGAATTGATTTGGTTAAATTTTGGTTAGTGACAATTTTTGTGTTTTGTATACGATTTTGCATTTACGTGGGCAGAACTTTGACTTGTATTTGAAATTTTAGGATTTTGTTTTAATCTTGTGGTATTAGAATTTGGATGCAAGTTGTTGGGAATTGTTTTTGGACTTCAATTTATGGAATTTGCTTTTGGAGTTGAGTTATGAAATTATTTGTAACAATTATATATTTGTTTTTCGACTCAAATTCTTGGAATGTGGAGATTTGAGAATTTGGGAAATTGGAAGCTTGGGGGATTAGAAATTGGAAATTTGAGAATTTGGGAAATTGGGAGCTTGGGGGATTAGAAATTGGAAATTTGAGAATTTGGTAAGTTAGAAATTTGGAAATTTGAGAATTTGGGAAATTGAGAGATTGGAGGATTAGAAATTGGAAATTTGAGAATTTGGGAAATTGAGAGATTGGGGGATTAGAAATTGGAAATTTGAGAATTTGGGAAATTGAGAGATTGGAGGATTAAAAATTGGAAATTTGAGAATTTGGAAAATTAGAAATTTGGAAATTTGAGAATTTGGGAAATTGGGAGCTTGGGGGATTAGAAATTTGAAATTTGAGAAAATAGAAATTTGAGAATTTGGGAAATTGAGAGATTGGAGGATTAGAAATTGGAAATTTGAGAATTTGGGAAATTGGGAGCTTGGGGGATTAGAAATTGGAAATTTGAGAATTTGGGAAATTGGGAGCTTGGGGGATTAGAAATTGGAAATTTGAGAATTTGGGAAATTGGGAGCTTGGGGGATTAGAAATTGGAAATTTGAGAATTTGGGAAATTGGGAGCTTGGGGGATTAGAAATTGGAAATTTGAGAATTTGGGAAATTGGGAGCTTGGGGGATTAGAAATTGGAAATTTGAGAATTTGGGAAATTGGGAGCTTGGGGGATTAGAAATTGGAAATTTGAGAATTTGGGAAATTGGGAGCTTGGGGGATTAGAAATTGGAAATTTGAGAATTTGGGAAATTGGGAGCTTGGGGGATTAGAAATTGGAAATTTGAGAATTTGGGAAATTGGGAGCTTGGGGGATTAGAAATTGGAAATTTGAGAATTTGGGAAATTGGGAGCTTGGGGGATTAGAAATTTGAAATTTGAGAAATTAGAAATTTGAGAATTTGGGAAATTGAGAGATTGGAGGATTAGAAATTGGAAATTTGAGAATTTGGAAAATTAGAAATTTGGAAATTTGGAAATTTGAGAATTTGGGAAATTGGGAGCTTGGGGGATTAGAAATTTGAAATTTGAGAAAATAGAAATTTGAGAATTTGGGAAATTGAGAGTTTGGGGGATTAGAAATTGGAAATTTGAGAATTTGGTGAATTAAAAATTTGGAATTTGAAAATTTGGTAAATTTGAAATTTGGAAATTTGAAAATTTGGGAAATTGAGAGTTTGGGGAATTAGAGATTGGAAATTTTAGGATTTAGAAATTTGAGAATTTGGTAAATTAGAAATTTGAGAATTTGGTAAATTAGAAATTTGGAAATCTGAGAATTTGGTAAAATTAGAAATTTGGAAATTTGAGTATTTGTTAAATAAGAAATTTTAAAACTTGCTAGTTTGAATAATTTATTTTTGGGTTAAATTTTCAGAATCTGCTAATACACTCAAATTACCATGATTTAATTTTAGATTTGAGTTATTACAATTTGATTTTGGCAATAAATTTTCAGAATTTGCTAACAAATTCAATTTATCAGAATTTGTTCTTACACTTGTCATTCAAATTAATAAAATTATAAATCTGAATTACCAAAAAAGGAAGTACGTTCCATTTAACTTTGTTCAATTTCTGTCTTAAAAATACATGACAGAATAACTTAATTTCGTAAATGCAAAATTGTATGTTCCAAACGAAATTTTAAAAAGCTCTTTTTATTGATTCTGTGAATTTTCGAGGTACCTTATTTGTGGTCCATTATAGTATAGAATGAATTGTATTTTTTTATATTCTTCCGTCATTTACGACAGGGTTAAATAAAATCGTGTAATATAATATTCAAGAAAAAAGAATTTTATGAAATACATATTTATTTGTCATTCAAAAGTTTTCTTTTTCAAATCTTATTTCGATGTGACACTTAAAATTTTATTACAATATTCTCGACGATGTTCAACAATTTTAGATTATTTTATAAGTTCGTGAGGTTAAAGTATTTCTGTAATTTGTGTTTTGAATATTTCCCCCATTTTGTCATGAAAATTTGACAATGTAAAGTAACAATGTGTATTTTTCTTCGAAAATATAACTGTTGTATATATTGTACATATAATTTACATGTAAGCACTATTTTCACGTTACTACAACATGCTCATGTTTTGTGGAAATTATTTTTCTAATCGCTGAATTAAAACGTCAGTTCAATCACGTGATATAACAAAATTACTCAGGTTTCGTGAAACTGAACAATTTTAGGGTAATTCTATGATTATGATCACAACGCACGTACATCGAGTTTACTACTAAATGGATTTGATGAAATCAGTCTATATTATTTGTTTAATCAACGTTTAGTGTAACATGATTTATGTTACCGCTTTAACTTTTGTAAATTGATTTGAATTCATATTTTAATGGTTGTAAATTAATTTAAATTAATAGTTGGACTGTTGTGAATCAATTTAAATTCACATTTGGACTTTCGTGAATTAATTTAAATTTATATTTTGATGTTTGGAAATTAATTTCGAATATCATTTTGGAGATTAGAGATTACTTGGAATTAATATTTTAATGTTTGTAAATCAATTTAAATGCATATTTGGATTTTCGTAAATTAATTTGAATTAATATTTTGAAGTTTGGAAACTAATTTAAAATATCATTTTGAAGATTGTAAGTTACTTTAAATTAATATTTTTAAGCTTGTAAATTAATTTAAATTAACATTTCGAAATTTGTAAATTGATTTCAAATATCATTTTGAAGATTCTAAATTAATTTAAATTAACATTTTCAAGTTTGTAAATTAATTTCAAATATCATTTTGAACATTGTAAATTACTTTAAATTAATTTTTGAACTTTTGTAAATTAATTTAAATTAACAATTTAATGTTTGTACTTTAATTTGAATTAATATTTTAATGTTAGTGTATTAATTTAAATTAACATTTTAACCTTAGTAAATTAATTCAAATTAACATCCTACAATTTTCATATTTATTCCAGCAAATAATACAAAATTATGTTATGTCGCATTCTTGAAATTGAATTTTGTACAACAATGCAAATATTAATTAATTTCATGAGAAGCACATTTTTTGTAAAGAATAGAAAAGCATATCTTTTTTTAAATATACATCTTTTCATATGTAAATAATAATATATCACATGATGAATGATTGTTAAAAAATTCAGCGATAATCAACAACCAATTTAATAAAAAAAGAATAGAAACGAAACCGTACTGTTATGCTGTTAACAAAAGTATCAAATTACGTTAACAGTAATTACTATCAAGTATTAATCACTGATATTTCCTCTAACAACATTATAACATTATTTAACTATATTTTATTCGCCTCTGCGTAATAGATTGATTCTAAAGCGGCTAATTAATTTGTAATCAATTGCAGAATTCACATGGTTTCCTGTTCTGCAAAATTTAATAACTTTGGTTATTTGATACATGTAAATATATCTCGATTAATTGAAACATTGACAAATATGAAGTTATACAAAGATTTAAAGTAATGTATGTAATTAAGACAATGTGAAGACATTTCAATTATGATCTCCATTTTGGATGCAAAGATTGGTCGTATCTAACCTCCAATTAGATATCGAACAAGATTGAACGGCCTAAATATTTATGAGATCATGTGTTCAGCTTGTTATAATTATTATTGCTTTTTTACATCATTAAACACGATGATTTAGGTTTAAAATCATTATTCTGTACAAACTATATTAAACAATTTTAATATTTCTTCATTACAAAATTAAGTTGATTATATTTTCATGGTAACAATTGTTTACACTATTTTTTCATAGCAAATACTATTTTTCCATAGCAACACTGATTTTTACTAACATTTCCAAATAAAATTTACACTAATTTTTTAAAAACTTTGTGAAATTGAGTTACTCTATATTTTCATTCATATTGCAAATTTCAGTAACATTGTTTCTTCTTTATAAAACTCTGTTTCATTGCAAAACTAAGTTTTACCACTTCAGAAAAGTCTACAAATAATTTTCTTGAATAAACACCAAAATTAGTTTACAAAAGCGTGAATTATAATTATGAACAAATAACTGCCATCTTACACTACGAGCCAAAAATATGGTACCATCTTTTTCAAAAAAAAAATACAAAACATATCATTTTGTGATATGACAAAACATATCACCAGTAATTTACAAATTATTTCACTGTTTAATGATTGTACTTTAAATACAAGAAAACAATTATTCTTTCTAAGTTATTCATTCAAAATGAAACATGATGGTTATAATTACACTTCTTAAATATTTAATTGTATACATATACGATTATAAAGAACATCACTGCCTGACAACAATTACACTTTCTCTTACATCTACATTGTTCACAAATTTTCATAAATAATTTAAACAAGTGAACATTAAATTGTCCATACAAATTTTGATAAATAATTTACACAATTAAACATTAAGAAATTATTCATGAAAATTTTCATATAGAATTTACGCAATTGAATATTAAATTGTTCATGAAAATTTTCATATA